TGCAGTTATCCTGCAAGCAGAACAACTTAGGCAGCAAACACATAGCATGGGTCAGTGATAACCCTGAGGAAACCGGCGCCTGCCGCATCATCCTTGGAAGGCAGCTATAAGATGCTAAAACCAGTACCACACATCAGGCTTTCATATGAACATGGAATGGACCTCCAAGCAAGTCGATAAGGTAGACAGGGCAGAGAAATGTGGTTTTTTGCTTCTGTTTATCTCAAAGGTACACAGGAGACATATCTAAAAGTCTTGTGATTTATAAAACCCGAGTTGGCTTCAGCTCGTCCTATGATGCCCTGTGAAGGATAATCCTTTTTTTTTTTTTTGCCTACAGGTGTCTAAAATGGGAGCAGAGCAAAGGCTTCAGGTCCTTTCCATAATTTCACAGTCCAGACTACTGCATTTCCCTACAGAAAGGTTTGGACCCTCTGAGGTCCTGCGGGTCTGTACAACCAGCGGCTGTCACTGTGCAAGAGGAGATTAGACAAGCAGATTTGCAAGGATGTTAGCAGCCCACCAGCTATGATTAAAGAAACACCAGCTTCTCCTTTTATTTGCCCTGCAGATGAACCTCCGTATGAGTAGCACCACAGATGCCTTTCCAGACTGCCAGCGGTCAAACATGGGCACTGGCAAATCCTTCCTCCTGCTGTACATGGGTATGAAAGAGGCAAAACTCTCTCTTTTCTTTCACTTGCTTTCATTGAGCAACAGCAGCCTTGCTTTTCCTAGCTCTGCCATTCAGCTTTATTTGAATTGATTTTGATTTACCTTTTATTTTGATTTACCTTTTACTTTGATTTACCTTTTACTTTTTCAAATTGCCAAGTGCTTCTCAGCTCTCTTATCTAATTCGAAGCCCCTTTCTAGGGCTTGTACCCATGACTGAGTATTCCCCTCAATCTCTAAAACATCTTGGAAGTTAGATTCCTCCTGTTGGGCTCAAGAGCTGTGGTGCTTCTAGCAGTCTGTGCACTTCATCCATGGGCCCCCAGCCTTCCCTCTGCTCTTTGGGAATGGAATGCTTCACCAGCAAGGGTTACTTTTGTGCTGGCTTGCACGGATTTAAGACGATTCCTGCATCTGGGGATGTTACCCTATCGAATGTTTGGATGAAAAGCAGCGGATTCTTAGTTCTTAGCAAGCAGGAGAGGGTCATTGGAGCTCAGAAGCACTGGCTACCCAGTAACCCCTGCACGCTCCCATGGGAAGTGGAGAGAAAACACCAGAAGAGCTGCCTCTACCCCCAAAGAGAGGGAACTGCTGAATCCTAAAGATCCCCTTCTGCATTTAAACATAACCCTCTCCTATCTCTCTACAGCCAAGACTGATTGCCTAGAGAAGGACAATATTAGGAATGGAAGGATTTGGTCATTGCTCCTGACTCTTTCTCTCCATGCCTCTCTGCAGCTGGCGACTGATGCATTAAACTATTCAAGTCTGTGACATTTTGTACTTCCTGAATTTCAAAAATGATTGGTAGCCGAGTACGAGATTTTATAAAGCAACCTCTTGCTGCATGTACAGAAATCATTTCCTCCCTGGGTCTTCTGCATGAACAAATGCTTCTCCCATCCTTCGTCTGTAAGAGCTGCTGGTGGTTGAAAGGAAAGCAATTACGCTAATCACTTCAGTTTTGATGTTCCCCTCCATATCCCATTCTCTTGTTCTACAATCTATTTTCCTTACAATGGAAAGATAAGTCCAACAGGACTCTGCTGAACAGTTCATTTGGAACTTATCACATATTTCATTTTCGTCGAGTTAGCTTAAAGTATGTCAATTAGCTGCATAGCCCATCTATGCTTTAGGGGAGAAATGTTCTTACAATGACAGTAATTGCTCAAATCCTTGAACTGAGAAAACAAAGAAACAGTGAAAGCTTCTGAATGAATTGATGTCGACAGTTTGATGGTACTTAGGATCATGATTGCTTTAGTATGAGAGCATTTTGATTGGTTGTGCATATTCTCTTTGCCATGTGTTGAGAGTATGTGGTATAAACAGACATAAGGCATGGCATTCATTTTGTTCCTGCTGACAGCATGTATAATGGAAGCACAGAGATTTCCTAAGGAGCAAAAGAGGCAGCAGAAATGACATTGTGATTTCATCTTCCAAACGCTGAATGTGCCTGAATTATTTAACAATATGTAGAATATATGTAACTTTCAATATATTATCCAGTGGAGTAAGCAAAAAGCCTTTCTGAGCTGCTTTGGGACGTGCTCTCAATCAACAGTTCCTCATGTTTCAGCAAACAGCAAACTTGTGTGAAATCTAAATAAGCACAGTCTGCTTTATTGATTTAAACATCTTTCTCTGGTTTCTCTTCTGTAAGCTGTGGTTACTACTTATTATTATCACAGCACTGCAAGGAGCAGTACTTCTGACCTGCATCTAAGTCAAAGCAGCTGGGTTTGTCACTGTTGTCATTTCAGAGGTCTGCAACCTCCTCCTGGAAAGCAGAAGAAAGAGGTGCTTTGGACCCTAAAGAAACCAAAGTCCTCGAGGGAAACCCCAAGTTTCCTGCAGGTTCGCTAACCATGGAGGATGGTTTGGTCCCTTTCCAGAGCCTGTGACTCACGTTAACAGAGTGGGAGTGAGACAGCAAGAACTGCGAATGCATCTGAAATCACATAAAAAGCAGTATGTTTAGATGTAACACAGGTATTCCCTCACTTTTTTGACTCTGGCCTATATGTAACTCTGTTCATAAACATCTAGAAATAGAGGTTTTAGTATTCATAGGTAATTGAAATGATCAGCAACTATGACCCTAGGTTGGAAGTAGCTAAACTTGAAAACCTAACACAAGCACACAATCTATGATTGCTCCCAGGCAGAAAGGAGCTCTTGATCTCCTGTATATGAAACCTCAGTTGCTATTATACTGACCAGTAAACCAAACACTTTCTTACCAAGGGGCACAGGAAGCAGAGGAAATCATGCAGAAATGAAACAAAACCAAGTTCCAAGGCAGATCTATCCCCTGCCTAAAGGAACTCTGCTACACCACGCATAGGTACAGCCCTCCTGTCTCTGAGCATCCAAAAGGCCTTGTTCCTCTTCTCTCAACTAGTGCTGCTTCTTCTTCTGCTTCATTGTGTTGTCTTCATTTAAACCTTCACCTTTCTTCTTCTTCTTCCTTTTCCCCAGTGTTGAAGCTGGCATGCTCAGTCCCTTCCTTCCTTCAAGTCTACTTGTGATGCTAGTCGACCTGGCTCTGATGTGTATATGTGCATTTCTCTTTCAACCTTTATTCTCACCACTGGTGAAGGCAAACTATGTGCTGATGAAGCAGGAAGCAAAAGCAAGAGCTGAAAGTTCATTTGAACAGGCTGATGTGACTTCATTTCCTTTTGTAGTCAAAAGAGAAAGTAACCTAAAACTTAAGACCTAGATTACAGAGTTGAGGTGAGCGATATATATGTATATTTAGCAGAAGAATGTGAAGATGAAGCATTAACACACTGAACAGCCTCCACATCCAACCTTCAAGGAACATTTTGAGGACGAAGCAACTCAAAGGTATGAAATCTCAATAGAGAAGATCAGCTTCTGACCCCCAGCAGTTTTTGTGCCAGCCAGCGGTGACCAGAGAATTATCTGTGCAGCACCCTTGCAGGGGTTTTGCCATCACTTCACATCCAAAGTGCTCAGGCTGGACTCAGCAAGCGAATGGAGTACACTGAGCTCTGTATCTCAAAGCCTGTGTCAGCTCTGCAGTGATGGCTGTCACATCACAGCCATTTTAGGAATGCAATTTCTTCACATCTCTTCTGCATTGTTATTTGTTGGTTCATGCTTGGTGGGTCACTTCAGGTCCTGTGGACAGAGCACAAGGCTGCAGGCATTCCTCTGTTCTACCCAGAGGCTGTGGGTGTAGTTTCATGATCCTTGTAACCCATCGAAACCAGCAGTATCTGACACTTGCTTTACCTTCCTGTGCGTCTCTGCACAGCCAGGTGATCACTCTGCCATCCAAGCACCATGTCAGGCAGCAGCAGCCCGTCATTGCGTGACATTAAGTGATGCTGGAACCGCACCTGGTGAGTACCATTATCCACCCGGCTCTTTTCCCTCCGTGTTCTGTCTGCTGGAGCAATTCCATGTTACAGTTCCCTCAGTCTTACAGTGAATGGGGTCTCCAAAATGGGCATCATTCCTGTTCTGAGTCCTGGTCTACATGAGGCAGTCACTCTCAAGAGTTTATCCTGCAGGCTCCACATCCTTGCTCTTCCTTACAACCCTTCTATTTCTCTTGCTGACCTTTAGCACCTTTGATCTTTTTTAGTCTATGTGTTTATTCACTTCTATTAGTTCTCTTTCACGCCTTGCTCTTCCTAACGACTTTACTTAATCATAGGAGAGAAACCTCTCAGAGGAAACCATCCTCACACCACAGCAGAGGTGGGCTGACATCTTTCTGTTTAATCTCTACTCAAGGAACTTCTTTTCAATGTCTCTAGAGGAGCCCTGTCTCCACGCTTGCCTCTTCTCAGTGAGCTGTCTTCTAGTAATGAAAGAGTCTGGGGTCAGAACTCACTCCTGCAGCTCAGGCACAAGCTTCCAGCACTACTGGCCTTTGCATGTCTTTCTTTTCTAACAGCAGCAACTATCAAGTCACTTTTCATATAAGTCTGAAGCTTATTTTGCTTATAACACTTAAACAATGAGTAGCCTCATCTGACAGCATGTTAGAGAGAAACCTTCTGGTAACCCTTGCTCAACACTTTGTTATTCTGGCACATTCAGCTTCACTATTAAACACAAGGCAAGCTGAGGAAGAAAGTGCATTTATAATGAAAACCCCTTGCTCTGCTGCAGGTTTCTTCACTTGATGGGGGGCACTGCCCTACAAGTCCAAGCACAGAGCTGGGCTCTGACAGCTCAGCAGGGTTTTAGCAGCTCTCTCCACAGGAGCAAAACAGTATTAGATGTTGAACACACGCGATTGCTATCTCAGTGAAGCAAGAAAAAAGGCTTGTGCCTTCCTGTATGTGGGCTGAGAAAACCCCCAACCTTCTCGGTCAGACAGGAACACCAAAGGCCCTGCTTTTCTCATCAGTTATATATGCTGCATGCTATGGATGTGTGAAACGACAAGCAGAAGGAAGTCACAAAACTAAGAGGTTATGAGGTAATATTTAATGCTATATCTATACATAGTGAAAAAAGCATAATGTATTTCTGAGTAATAGGAAACATTGGCATATCAGCTGTAATTATGATGTTCATAGCAGCAAAAAGGTTGTACCTTCTTAAAGCCAGCTTGAAATACTAACAATCTACATTAGAAAGTGAACTTATGCCAAAAGTTGGAAGTCATCTTCTTCAGGCTTGTGAAACCTCTATTATAGCCAAGTTTCTGGGAAAGGGAATTCCTCCTGCATGTCTCCAGAACACGCAGCACATATACAATTCTAACCCTCTAAGTGCTCCTAAGATCATGCATTTTAAAAGGGAGCAAACAGCAAGGGTTGTATCAGTCTTGCACCCAACACTGCACAGGTCTTTAAGGATGCTTTGCCTCATGCTTCATGCATAAGAAGATTCTCTGACAATGATTTGCAGTGGCAGTCTATCACGTTACAGGTGAAATCACCTGTACAGAGGTCAGTCCACATTATGCCTTAAGTCTACATAAGAATGCAGCTGTGTGTGGCTATGTTCAACAAGCACCAATAGGATTGTATGTATCTTGTAGAAGATTGCTCCCAAATTAAGTTTTAGCTTAGAATAGCCAAGGTATTTGCAGTAGAATAGCTCAGGTGAAATTCTATAGCAAAGAGACTCAGAACAGTTCAATTTCTTCCAAAGCAAGAAGAAATTCAACCTTTAGCTGCAGCTCTTCATTTTTAATGTGCTCTATACTAGAAATTGAGGCTGCTGCTGTTTTATGGGTGCCCTGCACCCATCCAGGAAGACGCTAAAAGATGGCACAGGTGCCTTCATAAAATATCAACGAATTACAGGTACAACTTCTTCACGTTTCTGTATTTTTCACTTTCAGCCACCTTTGAAGGGGGATCTTAGGAGGATGCTGAACTGCAGTGCAACCCAGCAGAACCATTCCAACAACGAGACACTGCCACACATCTCAGAGAGGCTCCACACCATTCTCATAGCCCTGTACATCATCAACCTGACTGGTGGCACCCTTGGGGTCATCATGATGTCCCGCAAGTTATTCCAGCAGCGATCGCAGTCTGTGATAACTGTTTTCATCGTCAGCCTCCTGGTGCTGCACACCTTCATGCTGCTCAGCATCCCCTTCCGCCTCAGCTATTACATTTTAAGGGAATGGAAATTCGGGAGGTTCGCCTGCAAGCTCACAAGCATCATCCTCTACATCCACATGTACGCCACCTTTGTGTTTTATGTGGGCATCATCATCATGCGCCTCTTCCACCTCGAGTTTCGGAGGTGCTACACTACAGCCTGGGTGGGTGCTGTCTGGCTGGTGGGAGCCCTGGTGATCACCCCTCTTCTTCTGTCATACTATGGCACCTCCAAGACATACCACTCCTCTGAATGCTTTCAGTTCCACAAGGAGATACAAGAGGCACACATGGTGATCATCAACTACTGCTTGGTTGGGGTTTTGGTGGCAGTTTGTGCTGTGCTCACCGTAATGCAGTTGTTCGTGATCTATAGGCTGGCACTGAAATACTGGCCTGACATCAACTCCCATGTGGAATTCAGGGCTCAGGCAAAGAGTTTCTTCTTCATCCTGGTAACATTAGTGTGCTTTATGCCTCATCATGCGTTCAGAGTGTATTACATCCAAAACTACCACCTGGATAAAGACTATAAACTGCTCTTATACAATGAAATTTTTCTAGCTTTAACAGCAATGTGCTGCTTGGATATGTTGTGCTTCCTAACAGGAATAGCCCACTGAGCTGGGAACTACCAGGGAACCCAGCTGCACTGTGTCAATACTGGCTTTTGGCAGGAATAAAACTGTGTCAGGACTTTGCTAGGGAAACCGCTGAGCTTTCAGCAGGGCTGCACAGGCCTGTGGAGCTGTTTGCCTTTTGCAGACCAGTAAGATCCATCTTTCAGAAGCTACTGGGTTTTATCTTCTCTCTTGAAGGCAGACACAGGAGTCTTGCTCTAGACTTTGACCTAAGAGTTACGCCCTGAAGCTGCATTAAGATTTTCTTCAGCTGTCCCTCTCTAACAATTACAGCATCCATTCCTGTCTAATTTTAACTCAAAGTGTCCCACTAACAACAACCCGCTGTGGTCAGCAAATTGTCATCTAACAACTTATGGCCATTGTAAAGCTGAAGGGAAGAGAGGAAAGAAAGGAACTCCTTTGCAGGATTTTTGTGCTGGTGATCTTATATCACAAGGACATAAACTCTACTCAAATAAAAAGTAATCAGGGCACGAAACAGGGAATGAATGAAACATTGTAGTAGAAGATTTCAGCAGGATCCTTTGTTCTTCACTTACACAAAGTGTATAATTAAATGTAATGGTATGAAAACACTTGTTCTCACAACCTAACCTTTACTTGCTTCATTCTGAACCCACAAGCAGCTCACTGCACTGTAGTAATTACACATTCAGAGTGAGTGAGAGCAGAGCAAGTCACAGGTTGCAAACTTCTACCTTACATTACTCTCCCATCAGGACTCCATCTATGGCTGTTGTCCCTAAGACCCACTGCAGCCAAAGAAACACAAGTTACTGTGGTCTCATAACTCGATCTAGAATCCAAACTGAGAGGTATGGTCCTTCACTGCTCAGTCAGTCTTTAAGCTAGGCAACTATTTTGTCAACCTTCAAAATCCCTTTGATGTTTGGTCACTTCTAGTTTCCTGTTGGTTTATTGTCAGATAGATACCATGTTTTTTGCATTTGCACATGTAACAAAGCAGTAGAATAAACCAACTGAGCTGTGTTTAATCAGTTCAGCATATGCTCATTGTATACAGTCTTGTGCTAAGTATATGTTTTACCCATTAGACAGATTATATTCTTTGGGAACCACATCTGCTCTGGGAATCTCTGGTTTATCTTCGTTATATAAAAGTCTGTTTTCATGACTGCATCCTGCCTGTTCTGCTCAGTCTTTCACCCTTCTGCCAAAGGCCTTGCTGCCATTTGCTGCATCCCAACAGCTTGCGGCCAGATTTCTCCCACTCCAGACTCCCAGGACTCACATAAGGGTGTCCTTCCTCCTTCACAGCCTCACAAGTTGCCATAATTTCTGAGTCTGGCAGGACTCAGAAGTGCTACAATCCCTGGATTCAAACAAGGTCAAAACTTGATGTGGGAGGGTTAAAAAGTCCCACCTGCAAAACCATGCTGGTGATGCTTCAGATTAGGGGTGTTTCTTTGAGCCTACTTTATTGATCCTGAGTAAATGCTTGTACCTTTACACTTTGGTTGCCAGATCCCTTCTGCCTCTTTCATAAAGCAGGAGGTGTTCAGGAAGCCAGCACCAAGTCCTCAGGTTTTCTGCATTTTAATCTAAGCTCCTTTTTCATGCGTTCATGTTTGACCATTCTCTCTGTATCTACAGTCACTGACTAGGGCTCAGCCATGGGAGGTCAAAACACTCACTTGGCTCAGTATGGCCCTCTTAATTCAGAGGATAATGGATTGAGCATTGATCCCAGTGTTGTTGCACCTAAGACTCACACTAAAGTGATGGATATAAGCTCTATTCAATACCCAGTCCCCTGCTGAGGTCTGGAAGCACTGTGAAAACTGGTGAAAACAGAAAGTTATCACTCTCTAGGAGGACAATTTGAGAAGTAAATTCTGAAAGGGCAATAATATTGGGCTCAGAGTGTAGGGTTTTCTTACTATCAACTATGACACATCCCCTGGAAAACAGCTACAAGCGGTTGGTTTGAATGCCATTTGCATGATCCAAATAATTCTGGAGATAATTATACACATAAGCAATTGCTTTCATGTTAACTGAATATGCAAAACTGTAAACCGTTTAGTCACCCCATTCATTTTTAATGCCATCAAATGAACACAGGGAAAATCCCCAGACGTTGTGAAGGGAAGAATATCAAGCTGCTAAATGTATCTTCTGTCGGTGTTCTCTGCATGAAGTTCTGCATAAAAAGAGCAAAACCAACCAACCCAAATGAACCCAAAATCCCATTTCTACACCTGACTTCCTAAGTTAGCCTGATAACAGGAAGTTATAGGCAGAGCAAGAGGAGTCTTATCATCAAAACCCAGTATGCTCGCTGCTGTCACAACTAGGTGTTACTACTATAGGAGGCCTGTTTCTACCTTTTAAGCAGTGCTGAGGGTGAGGTGAGCCCACCCACAGGCAAACTGCACCAGGGGCACCTCTTTGTTAATTCATACCTGCAGAGCAATACCTCCAGTTAATTCATACCTGCAGTTAATTCATACCTCCAGAGCAGCAATGCTTACATGGAGAAAAAAAGGTCTCCATTTCCTCCTGATGCATCTGTTCCTTCTGCCTGCTCATAGAGAAAGGTCATATTGATGATGTTGTCAGATGGCCATTCCCTCTCTCTGTAAGCCAACAGAAGGAACAGATGCATTAGGAGGAAACAAAGGCATGCTCCCCCTCCCTTGTTTGTTTTTCCCTTTTCCACTGGAGCACTGGCATTCTCAGCACTAACCGATTTGGATGGGGAAAAGGACAGGATAATCAAGTAATGCAATTTGCTCAAGCTGTCCAGCCCATACAGAGCAGCCCATCACAATTTACAGTCCCCATTCTCCTGCCTGCAGTAGCTGAAGATCAGTGCCTTTGCAGTTACAAACCTATGAACTAAAGAATGGGATTTGTGAGAGGTGAGGGGAGAGTGGTGTGGGGATGCACACTTGCAGAGTGGGCACAGGATACAGACAGACCCACTTTGTCCCCATGAATAATGGAATCATGCACTTCACACACTGCCCAGGATTCAAGCTTTAACCTGTCTTGTATTTTCATTGTTTGAGCCTGCATTCCTCCTCCTGGCTATCCAGATCCATTGAGTTTCTATGAGCTAGGAAGAGCTCATTCCTCAAGCCTAGGATTCACATGCTTGAGGGTGTCCTTGTTCTGAACAGCAGGTTCCGTAAGTGCCTCTTTATTCATCCCATTGCAACCCTAGCCATGAACACACACTTAAGTGCCTGCTTTTTGCCATATGCACTCCAGCCTGGGCTTCTGAGTGCCACCATCAGCTTTCTGCAGGGCACAACTTATGAACTATGAGTTCTGCATTGAAAATTACCTGTAAGCACATGGATGAAAACATTGCTGCAGGAGGGCCGCACTTATAGCAATGGTTGTTACACAGGGAAGGAACATCAGATAAAATCGAAGCCACAGAGACACAAAACAAGCCTCTTAAAAAGCCAACTAAGTGCCGATTGTGCAGCAAAACCCCACAGCTTCCAGTTGCTGTTCAAGCATCAGAGAGAGGAAGTGTTTTTCCAGTTTGCAGCCTTTTCCCATGAATCTGCTGGGTTTCATCCTGCAGCAATGTAGGGATGGTTTCTACAGAAAGAGGATACGAAGATGAAAGAGGAAGCACTGCTACGGGAAGAGGTTTTATTAAAAACCATGGCTGAAGGACTGCTTTTCGCATCTTTGAGTAAGCATCAGTGGTACACTGACAGAAGATGTGTCACTGGATTGGCTTGGCATACAGAGCAGAGTATGAAGTGAAAGCAGCATGTATTTTTGTGCTATTGTTTAATATCCTGTAACGCCTCTACCTCATCATAGTGCTTTTTTGTTTTCTTGTCCAATAGCTTAATGCAATTCATTGCTGTGGAGTATTAGAACTTAACCCTGTGTTTTATGCAACAACACCATGTCTCAGGTAACACAAATCAGAATCCCACGTATCCAAGAGAAGTGAATGAACCAATCAGCACGCAAGGCAAACATCAGCTAGTCTGTCTCCTGCATCCTTCTTTCCTAAAGCTTAACCAACCAGGTGACTGCCTGCGTACCGTGGATGGAGCAAATGAAGAAATGAGTTCAGGAAGAGGCTTTTCCACAGTGAGGAACAGCACCAGGATGATTCACCTGCTGCTCCTGGTGTCTCTTGCATTGCCCTCTGGCTCTACTGTGGAAGCACAAAATGTCAGTGCACAGGCTGGTGGAGCCTGTCTCCAAAACAGGCTGTGCATCTTAAGCCACCAGGTACTCTCATGCCTTAGAGCTCTGCTGTTACCTTCTACAGTTACCCTAAAAACATTTTCACCTGTATAAAGGTACTTTTCCTAATTACCAATAACCCTGCTTCCTTACCCTTAGAAATCCTTAAAACAGAAAAATGTTTTCAGACAAATGGCTCATAAAAACTGAGAAATAGATGGAAGTATTTGCTGAAAACAAATACTTTTAAGCTCAAAGTCACAGATTTAAGGACTAATACCAATAATTTCAGCTAAAGCTTGGGAGTTCATCCTATGGGGCATCTGCAGTTTAAGAAGGTTCCCACCATGCAACCACCTTACTTTGGTAGCCTTGTTCTAAGCCCCCTATCATAGACATGGAATAGATCCAGCCCTCTGACTCATGAGACAACCTTTGCTTCCCCTGACAGCACAATCTGTATGAATAACTGACAAAATAACCTCACAACAGCAGCATCTCATGTGAAGCATCAGGGAGGAACCCTGGGAAATCTGCAAAACTGAGACAACAATAACAAAATCTTAGGTTTCATGAAAGAGAAACAGCCCAATTGCAAAACTCCGGCCATTGTCAGTCAAGACACGCGAATGCAAAGGAGAACGGGAGAAGAAGGAAATGTGTAACTCAGAATGATTTGTGCATTTATTATTTAAAAGGACAAAGGAGTTAAGGGAATCTGAGAGAAAAAAGAGATAAAAAGACAAAACAGAAGAGGCAGCTCCAAAAGATGTCTCTGAAGGAAGCTAACAGAATGTGATGGGGCAAATAAAAACAGCCATTGCAGAGGTGAAATGCTGGGGGAAAATGAAATGCATTTTTGGGAGAGTCTGGTCTACCAAACCCATGGGTTGCACTTGTAGATGTTGAACTGCTCTCTGAAGTCACCCCCAGATCAGAATATCTCTATTATTAAGTACAGCAATATCCAATTCCTTCAGTTTTCTTTGCTCACAGAGCTTGAAAAGGAATGCAGTTGAAAAGAAATGCTGTTCTGTCCTCATCAGACAGAATAAAAACTGTTTAATAAGATGCTGTCTGATCAGACAGGAAGCAATGCTCTCTCTACACCTATTCCTGCAGGGGCCAGCTCCTCGGGAGATGCTTCTAAGGAAAAAGCTCTCCTCTCACGTCTGTCCCTGCACCGTCACTGCCTGTTGTTCCAATACACAGTCACCCGTCTGCATAGTTTAAGCCAGTCCTCTTGAAGAGATGGGATCTGTCAGATGTGGCTGGTGACAGCATCAGGAGCCCTTCTGCACTGTGGGGTCTGGGCTGTGGAAGACCCTGGTTGCACTATGAACTTCCCAGGTGTGTGCTCACCTTGCACAGTAAATTAAGGGTACTGTTACAAGGATCATACTCAATCAGAAACAGAAATCTGCACTAAGTCTCTAAGAGGTACAAGATTTGTCTCTGGCTCTAAAACTGCCACTACATGGTGGCATGTCAGAGTCTGCCTTTGCATCTCCCTTGAAGGATGTTCAGACAGCTAACATAAAAGACCCAACTAACAAGCTTTGGCTGAAGATTGGCTGAGTCAACCAGATGCTGAAACATACAAAGTCTGTCTAAGGGAAACACGAGCAGTTTGGAAATACTGCTGGAATTGAGAAGCTCACAGATACATTTCAAAGCATTTCATTCCTGTCAGTGTGAGCTCAGCTGGAAGCAATGCTAAAGAGGTGCAAGCACAACTTGATTCACTGATAAAGAGGAAAGCTAGCAACAAGCATTCCACCACCACAGTGATTTCAGCAGACAAGAAATATCTGCTGCCATGTAGCAGATCTCTATTGGGTAGTGTCTAACGTGTGGGTTTAGCTGCAGTCTGGTATGAACCCATATTTCTCTCAAGCACCTGATGATGCCTCTTCTTTCATTTAAAAGAGAGCTAGGCTGAGCACAAACACTGCAGTTACTGGAAACCCAGCCATATAGAATCCCAGACAGGTTGTGTTGGAAGGGACCTTAGAGCTCATCCAGTTCCATTCCCTTGAACACTGCCAGAGATGGGCCAGAATCCCACCATCAGCACAGGAAAGAACTTCTTAATAT